TCTAAAGTCAAGATCTTTCCAAAGACTGGACCGGATGAGTGACATCAACCAACAGTGGGCTTTAGCTCGTTGTCGGCTGAAAATGGGTCACTGAAGTGCAGAGCTAACCGCACTCCTTTGACCTACAGTAGAAGTATAGCCAAAATAGTTTTGGCCCTACTTCTCCTTTAGCACTGGTTCACACTAAATATGGCTTTGAAATAGCACTACTTCAGCTGAAGTAGTGCCATTTCAAAGCTGCCAGTCAGTGTGATTTCACGTGCGGCTTGCTAACATCTGTGCAACTTCATGCACAGATATCAATGCAAATCACACATGAAATTGCCAAACATAATGCAGGAACCTTTTTTTAAAACCTGTGAAAGTCAGAGTTGCACCGATTTGAACAGTTTCATAGGCACAAATAGGGTGAGACTTGTCATGAGATTTTGAACTGTCAAATCGCATGACAAATCGCATTGGTGTGAACGGATGCTAAAAGATAATTATTATTATACCTTCTGTTAACTTTGTATTAATAGTGTATTATGGCACATACAGGGGTAAGATTATGCAAACGATAAGGAAATGACTGACTAGGAAGTGGAGACATACAATGCTTCACAAAAAATACAGATGACAAAGGATATCCTTTTCTTTAACACCTAAATATTATGACAGCTTTGATGAGATTTCCTAGTACATAACAATATAGGAAATGTTTAATGTTTCCTGCGGGAAGTTTTGGGACATTGTCTAATAACAGTTACAGAAATCCAGCTAAGAACTACAGTATATAAGCTCCTTTTACCTATTAAATAAATCTATCACACAGCCACAAATACTGAAGAATGCAGGGCACTTGCTAACATGCTGGCAGTCAACAGGGTTGATTTACTAAAACTGGAGAGTGCAAAATCTGGTGCACCTCTGCAGAAAAACCAATCAGCTTCCAGGTTTCTTTGTCAAAGCTTAAACTGAAGTTAAAAGCTGATTGGGTACCATGCACAGCTGCAGCAGATTCTGAGTACACCAGTATTATTTATTTATTTCAGGTACTTATATAGCGCCATCAATTTACGGAGCGTTTTACATAAATATTATACATTCACATCAGTCCGTAACCCTCAAGGGCGTACAATCTAAGGTCCCTAACTCACATTCATATACAAGGGCCATTTTAGACAGGATCCAATTAACTTACCAGCATGTCTTTGGAGTGTGGGAGGAAACCGGAGTACCCGGAGGAAACCCACGCAAGCACAGGGAGAACATGCAAACTCCAAGCAGGAGGTGCCATGGCTGGGATTCGAACCAACGACCCTAGTACTGCCAGGCGGAAGTGCTAACCATTTAGTCACTGTGCTAGTAAATATCCTCCAATGTATGGACATTCAGTATTTTTTAATCAATCATTAGGTCACAGGATCTCTACCGCAGGAGATAAATAGTGTACAGATCAGCTGATCTTCCTCTTCAGGAGAGATTGAAATACAAATTGCATAGGCTTTGGGTCACATGACCAGATCAGGAGGGAGCCAGGAGTAGTGTTTTCTCTAGGTAGGATGGGTAGTTCAGCTCATCTATTACTCTTTATTTAACCACACAGCAAGATTATTTACAAAACCATAACGTAAAAGAGAAGTATAGGAGTTTTTTCCCCCGAAAACTACTTACCTAGCTGGATGCAACATCGGTCTGATGCTACATCTGTCCAGCTGGCTCTAAGTGTGAGAATTTAGCAATCACATTGACTGCTGATCGCTGAGAGGCTGAGCCAGGTGCAGCTACAGACCCTGGGGTGGATCCTGACTTTAAAGTCAGGATCTTTCCCCAGCTTGGACCGGCTAAGTGACATCAGCAGACAGCAAGGTTCAGCCCGCTGTCAGCTGAAAATGGGTCACAGGAGTGTAGAACAAAGTGCACTCCTGTGATCCACAGGAGAAGTACAGGCAAAAGAGCAAGGATCAAGACTGTATGACTCGCAAAAGACTGTTTGAAAACTCTGTCTATACACTTCAAACAAAGCAACAGTTTTTCATATCAAAAAGTTTAAACATAATATTTGCCATTTTATATTTTAATATATAGTGGTCAAACACTGTTTCTATGTTTAAAACAATAATTTAGTCCAAAAACAATCCTCAAGTTTTAAAAATAAATTCTCTAGTGTTCTACATAGAAGCATATGAGGAGCCAGCAGCAGAGGTTGAGGTTCTGTAGAAGCCCTGGTACCATTTTAGAGGAGGATGGAGAGCAAGTATGCTTAGTGGACACAATACTAAAGGCTTCAAAAGGGTGGAGATAGATCAGATCCCATCACATAGCCCTGAGGGGTGTTCATTAAAGCCCAAAAGTATATCCAGTTATGTACAATCTGTTTCAATATTAGATGAAGTTAGCCCCTAAAGTAATTAAATAAGAGTGTTCTCTTTAAAACAGGCATTTTTCCTTGTCGCCTTCATTTAAAAAACAAAAACACAAAAAAGGTCTCCTATCTTGTATATTTCTCCTTTTGAATCATATTATACCGTACATTAACTCATTTATCGAAATGGTAGTCTTCACACACATTAGATATTCTTCTGTGTATTGGTCCAAAACCCTTTAACAGTAATGTGCTCACCTTGATAAACTTTAACAGTTTACAGATAATAGCTCAGATAGGGCATTACAATAAAGCCCACAAGTGTCAAAATGCGAGTCACCTCATTAAAGAAAGTTGCACATTTTAGGAGTCATCAACACTTATGCCCCCAATACACATCACATGAAGAACTCTTGTGAACGCAGATGGTACTACAATTACCGCTTTTCAGGCCTTAGGAATAATAACATTCGACTTTTTAATCACAAGGTACAGCACAGCCTGTGCATGTGGGAAAAACAAAAACAACGCAGAGATGTAACTTTATCAAATGCAAGTGTGACATTTGACTTTAAAATAGGATTTATGCATTAAAAAATCCTGCAGAAAGTAACAAGAAAACATCCTAATTTGGGAAGCGATAAGGACGGCGGCCTAGATAAGACTTCCAATAGACGCTGAACACTAGCAAATGTGTTGATACCGCATCCTTAGCTTAACTCCCACATTTTGACATGATCAGATTATGTGAAGCATTATGAAGATGGTTTATATTTTACAATAAATCTTTCCCAGCCTCATTCGATCCCTCTGGAATTATTGCTTCCAGCCACTTTGAGCAGGAGCGAGACAAGAATCTAGACTGTAACATTGTCACATCTGGGAGACTGCAATTAACCTCTTCAGTACTAGAGGCATAGGAAACAAACAAATACGGTAGGTAATCACAACACAATTGGGCTAGCTATAACAAAGCTAATCAGTAAAATTAAAAAGTAATTTAAAGGGTTCTGTGATTTTATTGAATATATGGAATTATACATCTTAGGCCTCAGGCACACTGGACATCTGGGCATCTCTCCTAGATGCCTTTCCTGCTGGCAGCAGTGATTTGGTATAAAAAAAAAAAACACTTGGTGCTTGTAAATGTGTGTGACACATTTAGGAGCGTTTAGGCACATCAAATGCTTGGGTGTTAATTCATTTCATTGGGCAGAATAATAATTTAGTGTTAGCACGCTTTTAGACACGTTTACTCGCATCAAGCATTTTTTGGCTGCCAAACCACTGCTGCTCCTGGACATGCTGGTAGTGCTTTCTTTCTGCCTCTAAATGCCTACGTGTGCATGAACACATAGGGGGAGATGTACTAAAGCTGGTTCACTCAGATCTGGTGCAGCTGTGCATGGCCGCCAATCGGCTTCTATCTTCAGCTTGTTCAGTTAAGCTTTCGCAATAAAATTTGGAAGCTGATTGGTTTCTATGCAGAGCTGCACCAGATTTTACACACTCCAGCTTTAGTAAATAACCCCAGTGGCTAACATGCATGGGCATGTAAAGGCAAAAAAAAAAATTGCCAGATGCCCCTAACAGCAGCGTTGAAAACATCCAATGTGCCAGAGGCCTAAAAGTGAACCGTTCATTAGATTTGCACTAATACAATGTAGAAATTATGTAAGCACTGTTGTCTGAAATGACATCTACCAGCACCTACAGTCAATGAGACACTTATTAGGAGGTTCAAGACCTGTACCTTTATACCAATGCATGTGACTTAAAAGCTGTAAAACATTCTCTGCACATAACTTGAACTAAAAGGTTTTGGGTATTTTTCTGAATGCAACAATGCAATTCACACATACTGCTACGATACTCATGCATGCCACCATTTTCACCTGCAAACTGTAAAGTAAAATTAAAAAGCTGACAAGGGTGAGGGTAGAGATGGGAAACTCTGGGAAAAAAAATGAAAAATTGAAAAAAAAAGAATTTTTTTCCTGGTTTTTTTCCAAAGCCATTTTTGTTTTTTTCTGGAAAAAAGAATAACATATGTGCTTTTAAAATGCAAAATAATAGATATATGACATGGAATTCAAACTATATAACATGAAGAACTTAATGAAAGATTGAGACTTTATGTAAAGTTCTCCCAGCTGAACACAAGCAAATCCTGAAATACAATTCAAATAACACTGTACTTCTCAATGCAGTTCTCAGACAAGAGAAATGTGCATTTCTGCCACTAGGGGGCACTGCAAGGGAAAGGCTTTAACCAGCTGCCATAGATAGCTGAATGACGGCTTCACTGCGGCCGGCCAGTTCTGAGTGGACGTCATATGACGTCCTCCCAGAACGCGCTCTCCTGCGCGCCCCAGGGGGCGCGCACCCGGCGATCTCCGTGATCGCTGTGTCCTACGGACACAGCTGATCACGTGATGTGGTAAAAGGCCAATCACAGCGGCCTTTTACCACCTGATCAGCGGTGTCCAATGACACGCTGATCAGAAGGAAATGCAAGTGCCGGTTCTCGGCTGCACTTTCCTCACGCTGTCAGATCGTGAGGAAAGTACTGCCGAGAACCGGCATTTGTCAGAGCGGGGATCGGCACCGATCATCAGGGCACTGATGATCAGTGCCCTGATGATCGGTGCCCAGCAGTGCCACCCGCAAGTTCTGCCCAGCAGTGCGCCCACTAGCTCCGCCCACCCGTGCCCAGCAGTGCACCCACCTGTGCCCAGCAGTGCACCCACCTGTGCCCAGCAGTGCACCCACCTGTGCCACTCTGCAGTGCCACCTACCTGTGCCCAGAAGTGCCACCTACATGTGCCCAGCAGTGCCACCCACCTGTGCCCACCCACCTGTGCCCACCAGTGCCACCCACCTGTGCCCACCCACCAGTGCTGCCCACCAGTGCCACCCACCAGTGCAGCCCAACAGTGCTGCCAGTCAGTGCCACCAGTCAGTGCCCAGGGGTTGTGCCAGTCAGTGCCGCCAGTCAGTGCCCAGCAGTGATGCCAGTCAGTGCCACCAGTCAGTGCCCAGGGGTTGTGCCAGTCAGTGCCACCAGTCAGTGCCCAGCAGTGATGCCAGTCAGTGCCGTCTATCAGTACCCATCATCAGTGTCACCTATCAGTGCCGCCTATCAGTGCTGCATATTAGTGCCGCCTATCCGTGACCCCTAATTAGTGCTGTCTATCAGTGCCGCCTATCCGTGCCACCTCATTAGTGCTGCCTATCAGTGCCCTTTATTGCTGCCTATCAGTGCCAATCAGTGCCGCCTATCAGTGCCCATCAGTGCTGCCTCATCAACGCACATCAGTGAAGGAGAAAAAATACCTGTTTGAAAAATTTTATAAAAGAAACAAATAATCTTTTTTTTTTTTTTTTAATTTTTTGCACTTTTTTTATTTATAGCGCAAAAAGTAAGCGCCCAGTGGCGATTAAATACCACCAAAAGAAAGCTCTATTTGTGAGAAAAAAATGATCAAAATTTCATATAGGTACAATGTTGCATGACCGCGCAATTGTCAATCAAAGTGCGGCAGCACTGAAAGCTGAAAATTGGCCTGGTAAGGAAGGGGGTATAAGTGCCTGGTAGGCAAGTGGTTAATGTAGTTTGCTTGTGAGCTCCATCTTGTTCCTCCTACAGTAGGGTGACTGTAGGTATACAGTAGATGATAGTTTCTGTCTTCGTCTCAGGCCTTAATTGACAGGTTGACAAATTAGTTTATCTTTATAACCATTAAAACATCCTATTAACCGCTTCCCGTCCGCCCTATAGCAGAAATACTGCTACAGGACGGCACAGGTGCGCAAAATCACATATATATACGTGATTTTGCATGTCTGGGTAGGGGGTACGTGCGAGTCGCGGCTGTCAATCACCGAGCCCTGGACGGTGATTACTCGCCGGAGCCCGGTAATTTCCAAGGATCTCCAACAGGGAGAAGAACTGTTTTGTTTTCTAACAGTTCTCCTCCCTGTGAGCTTGGGCACACTGGTTTGGATGGCTGTGCACAGCGCAGCTGTCCAAAGCAGTGTGAGGTACAGTGAAGCACATTGACACTGTCCCCTAGTAAAACACTCCCAGCACAGTTAACCCTTTGACTGCCCCTCATGTTAACCCCATCCTGCCCAGTGTCATTAGTACAGTGTCAGTGCTGTTTTTAGCACTGACCACTGTATTGGTGGGTGTCACTGGGGATGTCAGTGACACCAAGTTAGTTCCCCCCAGTGTCAGAATGTCCACCACAGTCCCGCTATAAGTTGCTGATCGCCGCCATTACTAGTAAAAATGTAAAAAAATCCCAATATATATATATATATATATATACTGGGATTTTTTTTTTACATATATACAGTTGCAAGAAAAAGTATGTGAACCCCTTGGGATTACGTGGAGTTTTGCATGAATTGGGCATAAAATGTGCTCTGAACGTCATCTAAGTCACAACAATAGAAGAACACAGTCTGCTGAACATAATACTACACAAACATTAGATGTTGCCATGGTTTAATTGCACATAACATGTAAACATTCACAGTGCAGGGAGGAAAAAGTATGTGAGGCCCTAGCTTAATGACTTCTCCCAGAGCTAATTGGAGCCAGGAGTGAGCCAACCTTGACTCCAATCAGTGTGATGATATTGGATGTGTTGCTGACAGCTGTCCTGCCCTTAAAAAACACACACCTGTTTTGGGTTTACTGGTTTCAAGAAGCACTGTCTGATGTGAACCATGCCTCGCAGAAAAGAGCTCTCAGAAGACCTACGATCAAGAATTGTTGACTTGCATGAAGCTGGAAAGGGTTGCAAAAGTATCTCCAAAGGCCTTGATGTTCATGTGTCCACGGTAAGACAGACTGTCTACAAATGGAGAAAGTTTAGCACTGTTGCTACTCTCCCTAGGCGTGGTCGTCCTGTAAAAATGACTGCAAGAGCACAGCGCAGAATGCTGCACGAGGTAAAGAAGAATCCCAGAGTGTCAGCTAAAGACCTACAGAAATCTCTTGCACATGCTAACATTTTTGTTGACACATCTACAATAAGGAAAACATTAAACAAGAATGGAGTACATGGGAGGACACCACGGAGGAAGCCATTGCTGTCCAAAAAGAATATTGCATCACGTTTGAAGTTTGCAAAAGAGCACCTGGATGTTCCACAGCACTACTGGCAAAATATACTGTGGACAGATGAAACCAAGATTGAGTTGTTTGGGAAGAACACACAACACTATGTGTGGAAAAAAAGGCACAGTACAGCAACATCAAAACCTCATCCCCACTGTAAAACATGGTGGAGGGAGCATCATGGTTTGGGGCTGCTTTGCTGCCTCAGGGCCTGGACGGATTGTTGTCATTGATGGGAAAATGAATTCCAGAGTTTATCAAGACATTTTGCAGGAAAACGTACGACCATCTGTCCGCCAACTGAAGCTCCGCAGAGGATGGGTGATGCAACAGGACAATGACCCAAAGCATACCAGTAATTCAACAAAATAATGGCTGCAACAGCACAGAATACGCCTTCTGGAGTGGCCCAGTCAGAGTCCTGACCTCAACCTGATTGAAATGCTGTGGCATGACCTTAAGAGAGCGATTCACACCAGACATCCCAAGAATATTGCTACACTGAAACAATTTTGTGAAGAGGAGTGATCCAAAATTACTCCAGATCATTGTGCAGGTCTGATCTGCAACTACAGGAAATGTTTGGTTGAGGTTATTGCTGCCAAAGGAAGGTCAACCAGTTATGAAGTCCAAAGGTTCACATACTTTTTCCTCCCTGCACTGTGAATGTTTACATGTTATGTGCAATTAAACCATGGCAACATCTAATGTTTGTGTAGTATTATGTTCAGCAGACTGTGTTCTTCTATTGTTGTGACTTAGATGACGTTCAGAGCTCATTGTATGCCCAATTCATGCAAAACTCCACGTAATCCCAAGGGGTTCACATACTTTTTCTTGCAACTGTATATCACCATTTGTAAACATATATATATCACCATTTGTAAACGCTATAACTTCCACGTAAATTAATTTACTTGTATTGGTATTTTTTTTTCGCAAAGACATGTAGCAAAATACATTTTAGCGTAAATTTATGATGAAATTTGATTTTTTTACATTTTTCACTGGTCATGTTTATTAGCAAAATGTCAAACATGTTTTTTTCTCAAAATTGTCAGGCTTTTTTTTATAGCGCAAAAAATGCACAGGCAATCAAATACCACTGAAAGAAAGCTCAATTTGTGGGAAAAAAAGGATGTAAATTTCATCTGGGTGCACCGTTGCATGACCGCGCAATTGTCAGTTAAAGTAATGCACAGCCGTAATGCATAAAATGGCCTGGTCTGGAAGGGGGGTAAAATCCTCAGGAGGGTAAAAAGTTTAATGTTCTCCACCATCACAGCATAATGTTTACCTACTGTATAGTCTGGTCACTACATTGGTTTTTCTTTTCATCCTCTCAGTAAAATGGTGAGACCAACATCTAAAGCAGTGTTTCTCAACCGGGGTTCCACGGAAGGTCTCCAGGGGTTCCACTACGATCTGCCCATCCATCACAAGCAGAGGACAGGTAGATAGCATCCCCACACAGCTGTCAGTCAAGCTGCAGAGCCACAAAGGGAAACAACTTGCATCACTGTCCTGCGTCAAACCCAGCCAGCCCTCTCCTCTTGTCTGTCCCAGGTGCCTGTGTGTCATCACACGGGAGGGAATAGAGAGGAGGGCGGGTGGGGATCAGCACACCAGATATGATCCAGAAGCTTTCCTGAGCTACTGTAATGTACAGCGCTGAGCGAACTGTTGGCGCTTTATAAATACTGTATAATATTAATAATAATACTGTTCCCTCCTGGCCCCCTATACTGTTCCCTCCTGCTCCCCCCCATACTGTTATCTCCTGGCCAATCTGTACTGTGCTGTGCTCTTCTGGCCCCCCTATACTGTTCCCTCCTGCCCCATCCCCCCCATACAGTTCTCTTCTGGCCTCCGTGTAGAGTTCTCTCCTGTCCACCCACTCCCACTCCGTACTGTTGCCCCCTGGATCCCCTGTGCTCTGCCCTGCTGACCTCCTGCACACTGTCAAGTCTGACCCAGAACTGGACATCTGTGCAAAAAATGCAAGCACATATTTCACAGTAAACGAGGCAAGTTATAATATTCATCCTATTGTTAATGCTCTAAGAATAATGATATATCTACAGTTTGCTGATCACATCAATGGTTTGTGAGCTGTACATACAAAAATTATTTCAGGGGTTCCCCGAGATCTCAGGCTTTTTGCCATGGGTTCCTCAAAGGTAAAAGGGTAAAAAAAACGTGATCTAGGGTTTGGAAACATTTCCACAGTGTAATTTCTGCTGAGAAAAAAACCTGCAATTTGCAGTGTAACAAAATGACTTTCAATATGTAATACTACTCCACATTGAATTTTTTTTCCCCAGAAAAAAAAAGCAAGCAAAATATTTTTTCCCATGGCTTCAAAATTTCTGGAAATTTTACATCCACAAGTCAACATGGAGTCAGTCAAGATTTTTAATCTTTACAATTTAAGACAAAATCCACAGAATTAACATTGTCTCAGGCATTACATTACCTTCATCATGGCTTTAAGGCTGTCTGTGGGAATTTTCTGAGGACACTGGAGCAGAGTCATTGTGCTTTTACAGAGGCGTTTATCAACGCTTGACTGGTACACATGCAAGAAGTGAGATGAATCTTGTAACCTGGGCCATGTCATTCAGCTGCTACGGGAGTGGTCATAAGCATATATATATCATCCCAAAAACAAGTTAGGCGATACCTACCGTGTCTGCACACTATATACAGAAATGTCAGGATCTGCTGTGATCGTCTCTAATGCTGACGGCAATCTGAATACAGCGCTTCATGTAAGAATGAAGGTTTAACTATGCTCACAGGGAAATTGTCCAACAAGTTGGAAATTCTCCTGCTCTTGGGCAATAACAAAGACCACTGACTGCAAGAATTCAAAACCATAGCTTTAAGATTTGCTCACATATATCAATCTGTCAATGGCCAGCCTTAAAAGAAAATGCCCTTTTTTGAGCCTTATTATGGTTTTCTTGCTTGAATCTGTGCTCTTGACATACTGTAGCCTGCATCCTCCTATGGTCTGTTTCCATCCTTCTTTGCTGTAGAGTAGCCATCCCAGATATTATTGCAGGGAACTGTTGGTGAAGGGTTGCAAAATGGGATGGACATGCAACTTGTCTTCTAATAGCAGCTGAAACAGCCATAGATAACTTAGGCAGGGATCTGAATATTTAGTCTTACATTTTTATAACTGTGAAGGCTTACCTTTGAAAGAAT